CACGAGCGACCAATAAACCACAAAGAGAGGAGAGAGGGGGATAGAGTTGTGACAGCAACTGAGTCGCATGCACTCATTCGACTGAGCCAGTTCCACCTGAGCCAGTTCCGATATTTTCAGAAATACCACCAAAAGGCTTCACCCATGCGCGGTTGGGACAATCATGTGGAAAATCATTCCCTTGACTCCTTCAGGAGAGCAAAGGATATGAACGAAATGATCTCTTACATGCTGCAGCTGAGCAACAAAGCACGCAACCATGTCTCTGCCCAACCTTGACAGAGAAGTCTATTGAGTCGAGTGCAACCACCAGAGTGGAAGGGCTCCAAATAGCATTGTAAGTGCAGGCCTTCCCAATCAGACTTCCCGACTTCAGGCACTGGGACATTCCAGGCCTTTGGCAAAAGCTCCTGGCCCAGTGTGGCTCAATCTCTTGATATTGATGATGTTTTCCCTTTTGGACCTGTCGAGAACATTAGTGCAAGCAGCATACTCGCCTATGTCAGAGCACTTTAACACACACACACTCTCTCTCTCTGTCTGCTAAGCATTTCTGCCAAACTTCACACAGGCAGGCCTTGCCAAAGTATGATAGTAGGACGAAAGCAGAAGCAAAAGCAGCAAGGCTTGACCAATCAAAAAGGAATGCCAGGAACTACATTATCTCACAAAAAGAAACTCGAGAACCATTCCCACTTGAGTCTGTGACAAGGTTTTAAGATGTGCGCAGCGTATCTACATTCAAGAGCATTTAAGAATAAGGTCACAGCAAGGATGTCCTGCAACGCAGACATCAAAGGAGAAACCGTCATTTTTCGAAGCCTGGCAAACATTGCGCAAAGGCGGGCAGGATGATTCAGTTAGGCACTTAGGCATTGAGCCTCAGAATGTCCTCTGCACAATTTGGGGCATGTGTTTCCACTATCTCTGGCAGTTTGTCTTTCCCATACTGAGTCTGAAATTCGACTGAGGTTGACGCTGAAAGCTGGGTCCTTCTCCTGACGACACACTTGATTCCCCAAACAAACAACATGCCCGCAGTGCCACGAATTCCTTGTGTCGGTTGACTGGGCTGCACTTCACTTGATGCCATTCTTTGCAGATTTTGCCAAACCTGCGTGCAGGGGAAAAAGGCTCGAAGTCTTTCCTCTCCTCATCGCTGCTAGTGCTGATCAATGCTTTGCTTCGGCCAGTGTCATAATCTTAGTGCTGAACCCATGGTCGTGAGTTGCGGATCCGTTTCGAGAGAAGCCGACGAGGAGCCTGTCTTGCACAGCGGAACAAACCATTCAATGCTCTGTTTTTTTCCGAAACGGTGCTGGCGAAAAAGAGGCTGGAAATCCTTCTGGTCCATTTTGCTAAGCTCTTTCTTTGACAGATGATTGAGCCAATAGAGTAGAATAGTGCACAGATTGAAAGCTACAATGGGAATCATGCTATCTTATCATTTGGAATAGTTGGAGTGAGTTGAATGCTCAGAATAGCCAAAGGTGTTGCCATGTGTTTGCTCTTCCATGCGTGGGTGGGTCGAGCCATGCATTTGCCTCGGTGTATCATCTGTTCTCCAAAAGAGTCCTGAACATTATACAACCTGCTTGTCCTACAATGATGCATCAAATTTTAAAATGCAACTTGCGGTGCTATGGGTGCATAAAGGAAGAGAGACACACTGGATCCTGGGACGCAGTAGAGTGTCGTGCTCTGTATCTACATGTGCTCTTGAGCCAGTTGTGTTCCTTTGCGCAACATCTCTTGAATCGGATGAAACTGGCTTCGGGACCATCTAAGAGGCATCACATCTTGACTTTGGTAAGGCCAATTTTGCTCGTTGAATTTGTCGAATGTGGTATCACGCATTCAGCCAAAAGGCGCTATCTTGCATTCAAGTGATGTTGAATTCATCAAAGCTTGACTTGCAACTGTCAAGGTTGATTCCCATGAAGTGTTTACTTTATCTATATACATAAATTCTGCATGCATGATCCTTACTTCCGAAGGATCTCCTCTGCTTACAAATTTGGAGTACAGTAAGCTTTCTGAAAGAGCGCAGCATCTGACGCACACTCAAAGAGAAACGTGCATGAAAAGAGAGAAAAGCCATTGCGTGCCATTGATTCTTCATATTGGATGGGCAGCATAGGCCTGTGGAAGCAGTTGGTACTCCTCCTCATCCTGGCAGCAATGATGCTTCTTTCAGACACTGTCAGAACTTGGTGAAGTGGCCTCTGGTACAAAGAGCATCGATGTTCCAGAAAGTGTAAATGGTTGGGTTCCCGCTGTCATGTCCTGCCAGGGCAAAATACATCTTGACAAGTCTTCAGTCTTCAATCACCATGACAATCAGAATACTGGAATTCTTCGGGGGCTGTCGTTGCCTCCGTGAAAAGAAGTGGAACTCCCTCCAAGTCACCAAAGTCATTGTCTGCCAACACAAAGTCAAGGAAAGCCACTGCCTCACAGCTGGGATTTGAAATCCATTGGACTGCAATCTATAGTGCTATAGAACTATATAGTTATATAGTACTATGTTTTCTTGTGCAATTCACTGATTCCTCAAGGAGGGGGCCTATAAAGTGACCTTGTTGAATCACGTATTGCTGAACGCCCAAGTCAGCTGGCGCTGCCTCTTCTGGTGTCAGGCTCCCAATGGTAATACCCTCGCCACTTTTCTGAGCTGAATCCTAAGAAATAAAGCAGGCCAATGATTCAATTGCCAGAACACAAACTTTTGCCATTCATTTTCTTTGCTGGAGCAAAAAAAGCAAGAACAAGATCCGTACATCTGAAGAGTCTTGCAAATCGAATCCACCTGGGAAATCTGTGAGGGCCCGCTGGCCCGCTGTGAAAGAAACCAAACGCATCTGCAGGGCTTTGCATTTGCAAGAGATGTCTTGAGGAGAGTACGCTTCGGAGTAGCTGAAGGAATAGATGAAGCACTGATATTGCGCAGAAACTGCCGCAACCATGCTGGTGTCAGCCTGAGTCAATGCACCACGGATATTATCATAGAGCATCGCAGCATATCCCAGCATTCCGGAATCAAAGGTGCAGAGTGACTTGGACTGCGGCGTTCGTGGGAGAACCGGATGAAGCACTTGCTCAAAGGACTCCAAGACCGGCAGCGGAATCTTCACAATCGGAACTCCAAAGCGAGCCAGACCTTCGACCATCTGCTGCATGGCAAAATGCTCCTTCATCGATCGTAATTCATAGCTTGATAAAGCAAGTCTCCAGCAGTCTCCAGCATTTACTTTCCTTATCTTTCCTTCATTACTCTAAAAATCTTCAAGCTTCGTTCAATAGAAAGATATCATATATCAGCAGAACTTTCAGCAAATATCAATAACCACATCTGAGTCTCTTGCTGGCAATGACCTTTTCGAGCAAGGCGTTTGCCTGTTCTGGCGGTCCGCCACTGGAGAGCTTGGCCTCGATCGGGATGCGGACTGGACAAGAGAGTCCATGCATTATATGCATTGGCAAAGACATAGAATTCGACATGTCATTGCTGAAATCAAAGGAAGTTAAAAACAGACGACACCACAAGCGCAAAGCCTCTCTTTCGGAGCAGAAAACAGCATCCCGAAAAGGGACGCACTTCTTCATGGAACCTGCTGCCTTAGCTTGAGGCGTTTTTTTGGGGTTCCAAATATCTGACGAAGCATTCAGGATGGTAAAAGTGTCGTTGATCTCTGTGAATCCCACGAAGTCTCTCCGTGAAGCTGAAACAAGCTCAGCATCAAACTGTAGGAAATATTGGTTCAGGCCGGCGGATAAGGAGTTTGTAGAAGGAATGCGCCTTGAACAGCACAACGTCAGATCACATCAGCACATTGCAAGAGATTCGGACTCTGTCTTGGAGTATCTGAGGTGTGTTGGAACAATTGTAATATATTGGATTACAAAGGATCATGCAGGATATTATTACAGTATCATAAATTGAGCATAATTGAGCCACGAAGCCACACGATCGGCGACACCAACTTCAGGATGCGCATCTTTCCTTTCAGTTTTCTGACCTGTTTCAGTCTCGGGATTCTACATGATTCTACGGGATCTTTGTAGCCAAATAGATTTGAATCATTTATCAATTGTATTCATCACCATTTGAAGGCTTCACATCTTTTACTCCAAAGAATCTGTTGCGAATGATAGCACTCAAAGCACCTGTTGCGGCTCCCATGCTTCTCTGAAGCACTGGAAAAATGCTGAAGAAATCCTTCCGACAGTGCACAGCAATTCTTGAAGTCGTTCACGTTCTTTTCAGGTGTCTTACGGTGTCTTTTGGTGTCTTTGCGTTTCGAAGGTGATTGTTTTCACGTGTTTTCACTGCATTCTCAGCTTGGCTGTGGCTTGCCCGGGATTTCTACGTCCTCAGGAGTAGCCAGGTTTGAAAGATTGATGGCACACCTCGCCAAGCACCTGGGTGCAAAGTGGATATGCTGTCCATTGGACTATCATATCCACTATATCTTTCACATATCTTTCACATATCTTTCACATATCTTTCACAGCCTCAATGGTCTACAGTTAAAGCTTCAGACTCCGGAATGCGGACATCCAGCAGGCGGACCTCGTCTCATAGTGCAAGTGTAAGCTTGCTGGATGCTCTGACATTCTGCGGATGTTTGCAGGCTCTTTGAAGCGTTTGTTTGTCTCTCTAGTCTTTTCTTGCTCAGTCCACACAGCAGCACTGCAGAGAGCACGGCGTGCTTGATTCAACAAAAAGAAACTGAGCAGCCAAGCGTTTGCGCTGATAATTTCATTGTCACCAACGCGATTGTCCAAAAGAACATTCCGGCGATCTTGCGTAGTGTTCAAAGGCCTCAGTGTCAGAAGCCTTTTCATTCTGCGAGGGATATGGAATACGGAAAGGGAATAGGTTTCACTTCCACCTCAAAACATCTCCAAACCAAGTAAATGTAATTAGATGATATTATATAAATGATGTATGTAAATTTTATGTAAAAGTGATATGACTGGAAACGTCTGGAAACTCTTCAAAACAGCATCTGTGATATCAGTCTGTGGGCAGAGCAAAAACGCATCTGCACTGGGTTTGCTGCGCAAGGCTGAGTCAGCTGAGGCTGCTGAGGCAGCTGAGGCAGCTGAGGTTCGAGCGCATGAACATGCATTGCAACACGAAGGGACACAGCACTTGGTGGAAGGGGCAAGAAGCAGAACAAACGGCCCTGAGCGACGGAGCAAGATGTGTGAGATGTATGGAAATAACATTTGAAATAACCAAGACTTTGCTGAAATCAAAGAGGCGAATTCTGGAGATACAAAACGCAAATACATGTACGGTATCCCGTGCCTCTTCTTTCCGTAGTTTCACTGGGTGTTTCGTAGATGCAGGAAGCTCCTGATTCTGCTCACGAGATGATACCCTTCAGTCCATATGTGTCACAGTGTGTGACTGCCTACCTGCAGGAACAACCACAGGATGCTTGTGTAACCTAGCGACAGCAAGGGGAAGTGCAGCGCAAACTTGTTCAGATACTCCGCAGTCTTCGCCGCCAACAAGCCTGGAGAAGCTGTGCTCATAGGTTGTGAGAGTGGTGCGCTGTCAAAAAGTAAGCAGGTGCTGTTGCACTTGGTGGCTAGGGTTGAATGTGGCCTGTAGGACAGGCAACGCTGGTATGGAGGGGAGCCAAAACTCTCCGTGCTAATGCTCACGTCTGCGACCTCGAGAAAGAACAAGCCCAAGAAAGCTGTCTAAGTCCAGAATACAACGACATTCATGTGAGTCATGCAAAACTGACCCGGCATGGAAATGCAAAATGCTGAACCTGAGAGCCCGGCAGAGTCTGAACCGATAGCAGAAACCCTTGGTCTGGGAGCTTGAAGTTCCAGCGCCATGAACTCCATAGGCTCTGCACCTTCGCCACCTTTTCCACCCTGTCCGCCCTTTCCACCTTTTCCTTTCTCTTTCGAAGTTCCATCTTTCAGAGCTGTAGGGACAGATTGTGGCATCAGATTGACTTCAGAACAATACCAGTATCTCATCATCTCACAGCCACGCTTGCCCATCTAGAGTTACAACCAGTCTACTGGTGCAGTTTTGTGTTTATATTATATTCCGATTGCTGCACTGTTTCTTGTCTTTATTCATTTAGTTTTATTTCGTGTTATTGCAATGTATTTCTCGTCTTACTTTTGGCTGCTCATGTTTCAGGCCCCACACCTCGCACAAGCACTGTATCTTGGAATCTCCTTCTCTTATCTCAGACAGTCGAATCCTGAGGTGAAGTCCAGGGCCATTGCGTACATTGGACCACTGCATGCCACTGGTCTATTTGAGTTTGGACAGTTTGGACAGTTTGGACTTCGAATCCCTGAGGAATCTGCTTCGCCACACTCTGCAAGAAGAGCAACCATTGAAAGGCTTCCTTCTGGAATCGTGATGAGAGCCTTCCGTTTCGCCCGGCCAATCTGTTTCACTCAAAAGCAAATCCATGGTTCCAAGGTTGTTAACAACCCAAGGTCCAAACACGTCTGCTGCTGCAGCGTCAAGCTGAATGCTGCTGACCTGAGCAAGAAGCTTCACAAATGAACGGTGCATATGGCCCACCCTGCGGATGGCGTCGATGAAAGTTGCACCTCGCTAGCTTTTGCCACTTCCGGAGTTCTGAAGGGAACACGGATCAACCTCAAGGTTGGTTGGCATGAGAATGACTGGCCTGGCACCAACAACAACACAGTACTGTCTGTTTTCCTGCGTTTTCACCATACATCCGTCAACAGCAGTCTCTTTGCAAAACTAAACTGGTGCCAACACCCAAAAAAATCAAAATTGTAAGGCTCAGGCGTGCCCTCAAATGGATGTGACGACGAGAGGTCGCATCCCAGCATCCCATGATATGGCTCAAACCTGCTCCATCTACAACGAAACGCCGGCAAAATCGGCAAAGCAACCATGTCTTCATTGCGAACGGATGCAAGGGAAGCAGAAGACATAAGCAGGAGCAAGTGTCAGCATCGACAGAAAATGACTTGCCAGCAAGACTGATCTCTGAATTTCTCCAAGACCTCAGAAACACAGCTCTGCAGAGCCAATTGCTTCAGGGTTCCAAGTTTTCTACATATGGTATCATATTGTATGTATATATGAAATGTAATGTAATGTAATGTGATGTAATGTGATGTGATGTCATTTAATGTGATGTAATGTAATGTGATGGGATGTGATGTGATGTGATGTAATGTAATGTGATGTGATGTGATGTAATGCGCTGTAATGCAATGTCTGTATGTATGGTATGGTATGGTATGGTACGGTATGGTATGGTACGGTATGGTATGGTATGGTATGGTAGGGTAGGGTAGGGCAGGGCAGGGCAGGGCAGGGCATATGTATATATATATATATATATGTATGTATGTATGTATGTATGTGTGTATGTATGTGTCTGCCTGCCTGCCTGCCTGGCTGCCTGCCTGCCTGCCTGTCTGTCTGTATGCACGCATGTATGCATATACATGTATATATATATATATGATTATGATGATGGTGATGGTGATGGTGATGATGATCATCATCATCATTATCATAAAAAAATATTATCATCATTATCATTATGTACATGTATATATATATATATATATCAATACATCAATATACATATATGTATATCAATAAATGTGTATATATATATATCAATGTATATATATATATATGTGTACGGGTGTATATATATATAATATACATACACATATGATGTTATTTTATATAGATACACAGTATTATTATATATATTATTATATATATGGATATACCGAATATACACAATATTATTGTATAGATTGTCATACAGTTTAATATTAATAACAATAATATATGGTTGCCTGAGATATCTCCGTCTTCTTTGGTTTCCGATCTGGGAGCACGGCATTAATTTTCAGAAAACGCAGCTTGATGCCAGGTTTTTGGACCTTTCAGCGCCAGTGATGTCGAGCTTTCATCCAAACGAGCGCAATGAGGGCATGGCGGATGCGCCCATCGCAGACAGGTGATGAACGTGAGGATCAAGGAACAGGACCTAGACACCCAAGTGGACCACCCTCTGGATATCTCTGGATGTTTCCAGACGTTTCATTCCACATGAGGCTACCACCATATCCCCGCTGAGGATGCTGGGCAGGTCTGTGAAATTGTATACCTTGCGGACTGAAGCAGCGCTGAACCGCGAATCTGCCAGAAGCACTCTCTTTTTGCTGGAGCAAAAGTCTAGAGGAAATATAGGAAATGTTACATGTCAAACTGGTGACACGAAACCAGGAAGTTGCCATGTTGAGTTGCACAGCAAGCCACGGAGTTGAAGCCTAGCCCAAAACGACCGATCTTCCTGACTTGGAAAAGCAGCATGCGAATCCGGCATGCAAGTTCAGGTATCACAAGTATGCTAGACTTGACAGACTGTTCACGGCATTAAATCACGGCAGTAAGATCCGATTCTCATCCGTCCTCTGCTGTTCGCGCTTTCCACCCACACCGAGCCGACAAATGCTGTCAAAGTCTTTGGTGGTGAATTGGGCATTGTTGAAGATCCACAACGAAGGTCCTTGCCTTTGCAAGAGTTGTAGTGCACAAGCTCGGGACATTTTTGGTACTCATGGAAGCAGATTCTCTGGGTTTGCGGCCATCTATCCATGTCTGGAGTGAGCAAGGATTGCCTAAGCTCTAAACTCTAAACGTAGACAGATTTGGAAGCCTTGGACAGCGTGCTAAGAATGTTAAAGAGACTATCAAGCTATCAAGAGACTTGCGATGGTCCAGTATCTTGGATCATCTTGGTGTCTCCGCTAAGGCTGCAACTTGCGATGCTGTCTCCAGTCCCACACGAAATGCACCTGTCAACAACCAAACTGCAAACCTGCTTCGTTCAGCCATCATTTTTAAAGGTCTCCTGAGTCTCCTGAGTCTCCTAGGTTCAACAACGGTACGAGTACTGCCTGTGCTATGCAAAAATGATCAAAAATGGATACGTGTCAAAAGAGCAAAAGGTCTTTTTTGCAGGACGGAAGCAAAATCTCCTTGGGACAACAGCACAGGAAGAAAATAGCCTGGATGTTTGATATCTTTGCCACATAATATTAATATATAGTAATTTACGATAAGAATAGCATCGAATACAGCCAATTGATGAACACGGCTATATCGGCTACGTCAGACCTTACAGCCAAAAAACAAAACCTGGCTGTCAGCCGGGCTGAGGCCGGGTGATGTTTCACCTCCGTGGCTCCAGCGTCGTCGGCATTTTGCACCATCTCCTTGAACATGGAAATGTCTGCAGGATAGTCCTGTCATCTCCACATCTCCGCACCCAGGGCACCCAGCCGTGGGGAGGCCATGACTCCATGGTTTTTGCTTGACACATAAGACTTAAGATGACTCAAGGGACTTAATATGACTTAATCATACAAACATATTCAGATGATTCAAATATCCGTATCCTATACAATGCTGTCTGTTCCAGGCCTTCAGCAAGTTCTTCAGCCGGGTTGTGATGGGCCTTAGGAGAAAAAGCACAGAAAGGGCGTCAAAAACAGATTGAAGGAATTGAAGGTATAGAAATTGGCTAAGAGACAGAAGTTGGTCAGAATGCAGGACCTCAGGACCTCAGGACCTGACTCACTTTGCCCAGCAGCTTCACACCAATCCGCTCCATGCATCTCGGTCGCCTAAGCGATCCATGCGTCTCAGGCCGCTCATACCGCTCCATTAAGTTTGCGCCGCGCCTCCCGTGCATACACCAATGACAAACCACGGCCTTAGATCTGCCAGGACCCTGCAGCTGCGGATTACAGTACGACTGGTCTCTGACTCAAGCAGGTGCTCTGCTCTCTGAGATCCTTGCAGCCACAAGTATGTGCCACAGCATGGGATATCTTGGGATGCACAAGGCCTGAGAAGAAAAGGTTTTTGTGCCAGGCAAACCACTTTTTCACATCGTTTTTGTCCCATGTTCCCCCTGCGTTGCCTTCAACAAGTTGCTTCTACTGCAAAGGAAATGGGTCAACTCGAATACCAGCATGAAAGATGCTTCCAATCTGTTGAAATCGCTTGTGGTTCAAAGACAGCGTGGTTCAAAAAGTAGTCGCTGAGAAGAAAACAGTAGCTCCCCAAATTCAGGTCTGCTGTCTCCACGTCCGGCAACCTTGCGAAGAAAGCTGGTGGATTTTGCTGCTGTCCTGCTGTGATTAACTTCTTGATGACTTTTGGGAAACTGGCCAAGTCATGTTGTTGAAGACGCAGTCTCGAGCAGGGCGGAGAGTATTTTCCTTGCTCCGAATGTAACAGCACCAGCCAGGTCTGAACGAGTCCACACTGTATTGTTGATGTTTCGAAAGCTGCTTAGCTGGGCCTGATCAATGCATTATATAAATTATGTTTTACATTATGTCATATCCAACATTATATCATATCTAGCATTATATCATATCATACTATATGGTGTGTGTGTGTGTATATACATGTATATATATCCGCCGACCCCAGCGAG